TATGTATGAAAAGGTGTTACTTTAAATCAACTTTACAGACAAAGATTTAACGATACAGACGAAGATTTATAAAAATTGGCTCATTGAAAAATTTTCAAATTGAAAATTTAACGATTTTTTAAAATGCAATTTTTATAGATATTTATGAAAAAGTACAATTTGGACACTGATGGCCTCTAAGCGACCATATCCCAAAGATACTCTGAAATCTTCTCAAGAGCTTTATTGGTCTTACATTCTTGTAAATAAGTTTTGCAAGATTTTTAGACGGAATCTGTTTGTACGGAAAAAATCCTTGATGAGAAGAGTACCTCTCATGAGAGTTTGGCATCACTTGAAAGGTTTTTAAAGCCTAGTACACCGGTATATAAACCACTTATTATCATGTTAGCGATTTTTAGTGACAAAATATAGGAAATAATTCCCTATCCCAAATCCTATAAAACTAGAAACAGAACTTTCCCTAAAAAAATTGTTTTTAAAATTTTGCATTAAGTGCAACTTTTTTTACTTCGTATTATACATGGGAGTAGTTAATTATATCGACTAATTAATTGACGATTTCATTAGCATTAAATTGAAAAAAATTATAATTATTTTTTTTCATTAGCATTATTTTTTTAATTCTAATGCTTTTTAATGAAACGATTTCATTAGTAATTATTTAAAAAGAAATTTCCATTACCATTATATAATGGATTTCAAAGATTTTCAAACATTAGTTCGAATTTCGAAATTAATTTCGAATATCCGAACATTATAATGCATTGTCATTAGGTGTAATCATGCATACCAAATTTCACACATTAGAAGAACTAGTTTTAACAGTTTTTTTTTAGTTTTTATGACAGAGAGATTAATTTAAAAACATAAAAAAAAATCGAAAATAGCTTCGAATTTTCGAACTTAATTTCGAATATTCGAACATATTATTGTATTATCATCAGATGTACTTATGACTTCTAAATTTCAGCCAATTTGGGATACGGGAACTGGTTTTAAAAGCTTTCAAACCTGTGCTCGAATCTTCGAAAATTTTTCCTGAATTCTTATTAAATATATTTTTCGACAGTTATAAATACTAATTAAATTTGCTTTTGAAAATTCATTATCAAATTCATTACCATTATCAAAAAAAGTTATAATGGAAAAAAATATAATTAAAATATTTTTCATTAGAATTTTTTCTATAAGTGGTAATGAAATTTTTATGGACTTTCTCTATCCATCGACACCCATAATATATACCAAAACATTATAGCTTAGTTGGTGCCAAGTTTTGTTCAGGGAGACCCCACTGTGCAATGTTTAAGTACAAATCGATTATTTGCGGTATTTTGCTCTAAGCGTAAATCCTAATGTATTACTACCATTAGTTTATATCTTTGATGTAAAACTATAATAAAACTATGCCTCCATATACTTCCCAGCAAAAAATAATTGATGTCATATATGACATCAATTATTTTTTGTATACTTTACAAACTACATCTTAATCACATCTTAAAATGCGATTACATATTTTTCACTTTTTTAAACCAAATATTTCTTTACAAATGAAAACCCAGTTAAAAATGAGGAAAGAGATGTAGAAAAGTCACTACAAATAACATATTCGAAGTACATCAAGATTTGGTGAAAGAGTAGTGAAATTTACATAAGCGTGTCATTAAGAGAATTTGTTTTATTTTTGGCATCCAAATATCGGAGTTTTACTGCTTCTAAAAAGTAGGATTAGATGTAGTTCAAACTTGCCAAAAATGAACAACATTCCTCCAATGACACGCTAATGTAATATTAATAGGTTTTACACCCGAATTTGAAGCACTTCGGGTTACTAGTTCCCAGCAAAAAATAATTGATGTCATGCTTTACAAACGACATCTTAATCACATCTAAAAATGCGATAACATATTTTTCGCTTTTATAAACCAAATATTTTATTACAAATGAAACCCACTTAAAAGTGAGTAATGAGATGTAGAAAAGTCACTACAAATAACATATTCGTGAAAGACTAATAAAATTAACATAAGCGTGTCATTGAAAGAATTTGGTTTATTTTTGACATCTAATAATAAGATTAGATGTAGTTCAAAGTTGTCAAAAATGAACAGCATCCCTCCAATGACTCGCTAATGTAAAATTCATAGGTTTTCACCCGAATTTGAAGTACTTCGGGTTACTAGTTGTGATGAAAATACTACATCTTTTTCCACACTTTTTTTGCTGGGTTAGAAATAAGTAGTTTTTTCGACTCGTCATTTAGAAGCCTAAAGAGCACTTCTTGTTGTGCACACTATTCTTAAGGTAAATTAATTAATAAAGGAAGACAAGTATTCATACATATGTACAAGTTAATGCATACATCCATACCCAGCAAAAAACAAGTAAGAAAGTATAGTCGGGCGTGGCCGACCATATGATACCCTACACCAGTTATGAATATTAAATGTGATTTATTTTTCATAATAAAGCATTTATCTTCAATATTCCCTTGTTCCGATACATTTAAGCAATTTATGGATGAAAAACTAATTTTCTGAAAGAGGCTTTATATGGGGGCTAGGGGCAAATATGGACCAAGCCCGATAAAATTTTGTGAATATATTTATATTTACATAATATTTTATTGTGCTGAATTTCATCGCGATATTTGTGTTTATAAGTTAATTTGGGACATTCAAGTAATTTTCTGAAGGGGACTTTGTATGGGAGCTAGGGTCAAATGGGGCCCGATCTTTATGAAATTTGGCAGGGTTAACAAGACTTCTATAAAACTTAGTTGTGCCGTATTTTATCAATATATCTGTATATTTAACATACTTATGAGCTCAGAAGCCCTTTTCGGGGGGTTCTGTTCTATGGGGGCTAGGTGAAATAATGGACCGATTTTAACCATTTTCAATAGGCTTCGTCCTTGGGTCAAATAAAACGTGCGTGCCAAATTTCATCTAATTATCTTGAAAATTGCGACCTGTAGCTTGCGCACAAGGTTTACATGGACAGCCAGCCAGCCAGCCAGATGGACGGACGGACATAGCTTAATCGACTCAGAAAACGATTCTAAGCCGATTGGTATACTTTAAGGGTCTAGGACGAATATTTTTGTATGTTACAAACATCAGCACAAATCCAATATACCCTCCCCACTAAAGTGGTGTAGGGTATAAATATATATGTAATTACATATGTATATATGTAGAATATCAGCATATACATACATATGTATGTATTTATGTATACGTTTTGCAAACTTGTTTAATTTGCCACTAAATTGAAAATTTTAACTCAGTACCTAACTATTTATAGTGCTTTATTGTACTCTATAAATTTGTTGAATCAATATTTATATTGAATTTATACATATCGTCACCTGAAATGAAAAACAAATAACTTTAAAATCGACTTTTTGGTTGAAAATGGTCAAATTTTTAGAACTGTATTGTCAAAAACACCAACATCCAATTATCTTGAAAATTGCGACCTGTAGCTTGCGCACAAGGTTTACATTAATCTTAATCGACTCAGAAAACGATTCTAAGCCGATTGGTATACTTTAAGGTGGGTCTAGGACGAATATTTTTATATGTTACAAACATCAGCACAAATCCAATATACCCTCCCCACTAAAGTGGTGTAGGGTATAATAATTGATGTCATACTTTACAAACGACATCTTAATCACATCTAAAAATGCGATTGCATATTTTTCGCTTCTATAAACCAAATATTTCCTTACAAATAAAAACGGAGTTAAAAGTGAGGAAAGAGATGTTGAAAAGTCACTACAAATAACATATTTGAAGTACATCAAATTTTTGGTGAAAAACCAATGAAATTTACATAAGCATCTCATTGAAAAAATGTGGTTTATTTTTGACATCCAATTATCGGATTTTTACTGCATCTATGAATAAGATTAGATGTAGTTCAAAGTTGTCAAAAATGAACAACATCCATCCAATGACACGCTAATGTAAAATTCATAGGTTTTTCACCAAAATTGGAAGTACTTCAAACATGTTATTTGTGGTGAAAATTCTACTTCGCTTTCCTCACTTTTTTGCTGGGTCCATATGAAGAAAAGTTTTATAAAAAAGTACCAAAAATAGGTACAATTTTCACTCCTTAAACGTCCGAATATTCAAAAAGTATTAAATTCGTATTTTTATTTTTTCGATAAGTTAAGAAGAGTCAAAAATATTTTGTGAATTAATATTTTGTGTTTAAAAGATACAGTTTTTACCCGTTTATTCCCTAAAGAGGTCATATTTGAAAAAAGCACCAAGCACTTGTCCGCTTATTTTTTAAATGAACGACAATAAGCTTTAAACTGTTTTTGTATCTTTTCTAGTGTTTAAGTTAGAATTGATGTACCTACATTTTTGAAATTCTTTTTATAACAACGTTAGAATTTTACAAAGCTCCCCTTTATTGAAACTTTGATGGAAAGTTATAACGAATAAACAGCTAAAGGAGCTTAAATTATGAACCATTTTTGATTTGTCTACGACACAAGCACTACGTGCATATTATATTTAAAACCCATCTGCATCTACGAGGTAATATTTTGGATTAAATTAAAAGAGATCTTCGTATCAAATAAATTTGAAATATACTTTTGTTAAATTTATATGCATATAAAATCTTGAGAAATTTATTGGTGCTGAACATACTGCCGGTTTCTCTAAATGCGAAAGAACATTTTCTTTCTTATAAATATATTGAAAACAACAAATAAATTTCAAATTTTGTTTTTGTTTTCAATATATTTATAAGAAAGTAACTAATTTAATACCGACTGTTTTTACGTTTACAATTGTTTTTTGTTTTTTTCTTTTTATCAACAATATTTTAAATTTTAATATCTCGTTTTAATTTACTACAGAGTGGAGTACTCTATCATTGTGAACGTAGCTTAAAAAGTGCAAAACTGACGAGTACGGGAACATACATATTAATTTATATTTGCAAAAATATTGAAAACTGTGACTTACCTGGCAGCTTGTCTTATACGGTCATTGTCTTCTTTTGTGTTATAAATAATTGCCAAAATGCAGTTTGCATATTCAATTGCATCAGTGGCTAAGAATCCATTTTGACTACCTTCAGATGTTTCTATAATATCCAATAAAGGACCGCCAGATTTGTGACCGACCATTATAACACCGGCTGCCATACATTCAACAACGCCAATACCAAAGTGTTCATTCCACATTGTGTGAATTCCAATATTAGATTTCTTATAACATTCCAGTAATTCATGGTATGGGACATTTACTTTAAATTCAACGTTATTTTCCAATGACAAATGCTTTGTTAAATCTTGCATATTTTTAAGTCGTTCATAATCAGACTCATTACGACAAGATCCTACAATAATTAATTTGATTTTGTTCCACAAATCTTCATTACGGACTAATAAAGTACGTAATTCATACATGGTTTGTAACTGAAGTGGATGATCTTTTTCGGGACGAAATTGTCCCACGGATAAAATAATTATTTCGTTTGGATTTTCACTTCGCTGCAATTTCTTTAAATGATTTACTTCACACGGTGGATACACGCGATGTGTCTTAAAAGGAACTCCCCATAAATCCAAAATGTGATTTTCAGTCCAAGAGGAATTAACCATAACGGTTTCAGAACTCTTTCCGACCCAACTATATATCTAAAAAAATAAATGTCAATTTTCGATTTTGGTTGATTCAACATTTATTATTGTATAAAAATTTATTTTTTACCTTTGCGAATATTTTATAATAAGTCACTTTCAGCCAAGTTAAAAACGGATTACGTACAACATAACTATGGTTGTTATGTGAATATTCACGCTGTTGAACTCTTCGTAACATATCAGTACTTATAGTTGGATAATGAACATAACATCCAACTTTGCAACATCCAATAAATCGGAAAAGTGGTAAAGTAAATGCATACCCCATTGTATCAAGGTAAATGTCTGGAGGAAATTTTACTAACGCTTCCAAACCCAATATCATCGATCCAATACTTTGCCCAAGAAGTGTGAAAACAGGATACCTTTTTGCTTCCACTAAGTGCCGAAATTTTAAGTATACAAATGTGATACTGTCCTTTTCTAGATTAATATTGAAAACATTGTTCACTTTTTCCAAAATGCTACTTGGAGAGCTCTCAATATCACCAGTGTAAATAACCACTTTAACGTTGTCATACTTTGCCTAATTAGTAAAAAATAAAAAAAAAATGAAGTATAACGATTTTAATATGTTTAAAAAATGTTAAGCTCTGGAATATTTTGGGAAACATTCTCAAAATAAAGATGAGTTGAAAGTAGTAAATAAATCTCAGTACATTGGCGGATAAATAAAATCAGAAACAAGTAAATAATTGTCGAATTCGATGACAAATTTCTAAACTTAAGGGCCTGTTCCTCTAAATGCGAACGAATAAGTTTTTTCTAGGTTTATATTGAAAACAAGAAACAAATTCGAAAAATTGCTATTTATTTATTTATTTATTTATAAGTTATCTTAAGATAAAATTAGGATTACTTATTATTTACGAAGCAATGGCAACTAAGGGCTTCAGCTTTATTGTTTTCAATATAAAATCAGAAAAAATGTTAGTTCGCACTAGAGGAACAAGCAGTAAAATTGTTTGAGCTTTTAACTAAAGGGAGTTTTACATTATAATACTTTGTATTAATATCAGAGTTTCTATGTCTTTAATACAAAATCAAATTTTTTGTCAAAATGTATTAAACAATTTTCATTTATATATTTTAAAAAAATAATTTCTTTCGTTTATTTTCAAATTGAAATGGATTATGAAGAGAATTATGGTAAAAAATAATAAATAAAATTAATTAACAAATTAAAATCCAAAAGAAAACTATAAATAAATTGTGTATTTTATAAAGAAGTACGGCATTAGGCTTGAATATAACCAAGCGTTTTTCAAAGTTTTCATACAAATAGTTAGTAAGGAATTAAAAGTCACCGAAAATAACTTGTGCGCTCTGAGATATTGGAGGTCAAATGTTACAAAAATAAGTTTTTGTCGAATAACTTGCTTAATATGCGTCGTACGCATATTAATGTTATTATAATTTCTATAGAGAATTGAAGAATATTATTGCGTATCATTAGCTGTTTTCGAGCTATAGTGCATTATTTTTCCATTGCGCAATATTTTCAAATCTTAATATAGATTGTACTAATTACAAATTTGTTATATTTTTTACGTTATTCATAAACAGTTAATATATGATTCTACATTGTTACACGTTTCATCTCAAATTCGCTCTATAACCCATAGTTCAACGTCTGTCTATCCATAATTTCAGATAGTATCACAGGTCATATTTATAATCACAATTATAAAACTATGGTGGTCACACACATATTTAGAAAAAATTTAAAAAAACTATTAATATTGGAAACAAAGTCGGAGCTAGTTGAAGTCGTAGTCTGATTTCAACGAAATTTAGTGGAACTATTTTCCTGACTTTGTAGATTATGTCGACGATTTTTTTCAAATTATATTCATAATTGTGACCCGATCGGAAATTTCGGATAAACTGTTTAAGTTATGTGACATAAATTAATTATGTACTTTTAGCTAATATTAGGAAGGAAAAATGCGACATTATCTGTATTGGAGTTAAAAATATTAAGATTTGAAAATGTCATTGTAATGAAAAAAAAAACAATGCACTATAGCTCGAAAATAATTATGCGAAAATATTCCTCAACCAAATTGTAGGAAATTCAATTCTCTATAGAAATAACAATAACATCAACGTGTCTGGTGCATAATAAGCGAGATATTCTCTTAAAACATATTTTTGTAACCTTTGACCTCCAATATCTCGTTTAGCGTACACGATATTTTCGTTGACTTTTAATCCCTTACTTATTATGCTATGGAGAAGCTATGTGCCAATTTTCATTAGCTATCTAAACTACCGCAGCAAAACCTGGGCTAATAATAGAATGAGAGTTCTAAAATACAGCATGAACATTCAAACAATTATGATGTTGTCTATTCAAATAAAGATTCAAATAAAGATTTTTTGTTGGATTCCGTCGTTTGGACCTACAAAGTAAATCGTCCACACCCTACTTTCATTTTGTGCTAATAATTAAGTTTAAGAACTGTATGTACATAAATATACCTTCTAGCTGGAAAAATATTAAAACTAGAATCCTCAAAATTTGGGGTAGCAAATCACTTGTGCCTAAAGTTTTTGGATTGAATGTATGTACATAGTTATTTGTACATATACATACACTCCTCGCCACTTGAATAGCACATATATCAATTTTTTTTTTTCAAAGATTATATTTTTGGATCGGGAATTTTTGGAAACTTCTTTTTTCCCCTCATTGTAAAAATTGGGCTACATCAACAGGATGCGTCCATAAATCCATTGGACAGAGTGAAGTAGGGTTGGCTGAGCAGTTGAATATGTGGTGGGTGTCATGAGGACCCTGACCACATGCAGGACATTCGTTGGGGACGGCACGGTCAATACGTGAGCAGAAGGCATTGAGCCTGTAGCTCCATCCCGATCTTAGTTGTGCCAGAACTACTCTTGTTTTCCGCGGCAGGTTTTCTTCCGTGTCTGCTATGGGCGGTGGGCGACCTCCAAGTACGACATTCATGCGGTATCCTGCGACCGCGGAATTTATGGCGACTCTATGAATGTCGTTCAAAGCTGCCGAATACGAGGACTGATCCAGTGGATCCCGCACATATCTGCATATGTTTTCCTCGTATATACGAAGACCTTCCTGACATGCCTCGGGGGAGTATCCAATTGTGTGATGTTAAAATTGGGATGACTTCTCCGATGACATCCCAGAAGGAACTGTTTAGTCAACATGACATTGTGTTCCTTGTCTGGAAGGACCTTCATTTCCTCGTGCAGGTGATGATCCGAGGTAATTTGTAGGCAGCCCGTTACAGTCCTTAGGGCGGCATTTTTGCAGCTTTGAATATTTCTCCACTGGGTATCACTTAGCGAAGGTGACTACACTGGAGCAGCATAGTTAACCACTGACCGACCAATCGTTTTATATGTAGCCAACAAGGTTTCTTTATCCATACCCCAAGTGCTGCCGGCTAGCGCTTTGAGAACCTTGTTTCTATTTCGCAATTTGTGCGTGATTGTAGTGGCGTGAGCTAAGGAAGTAAAGAGGCTGCAACAACTGTTTGGAAGTGATTCATATAGCTTGGCCATGTAATTCAGTTGTACTGAGCTCGACTTCTTTAATTGCATAGATTAGTTCAGGAATTGTTGAATACTGTTTTCCTGACTAATAATCTTTTCGGGCAACCCATTCCCACAAGTTTTCTATAATGTTTAAGTCTGGTGAATATGGAGGGCAGCACAACAATTCAACATTTTGGAAACCAATATAAGATTTTACGATTGGGGTAGTGTGGATCGGGGCATTATCTTGTTGTAGGATCCAAGGGCTAGGTCCATAGAGGTCATTGAAAACCGAAAAAAGCCTTTTTATTAACCCAATGTAATTCTTAGCATTTGTTCTTGTTTCTAAAAACTCCTGATCCAAAAATATAAGCTTTGAAAAAAAATTGATATATGTGCTATTCAAGTGGCGAGGAGTGTATATACATATATTTAGTATAATCTACCGAAAATGTACCTGTATTGATCTTACAGCACACCATAGCACACGTTCTCCTCCACCACCAGCATTACAATAAGGATGAAAAAATCCAACATTTACTTTTGGATTCCGGGTTTCCAAATTAGCCTTTCTTGATTTTAAGTACTGACGAAGAAAGTACAATGCAATTATTAAGCACAAAGCAATCGCTAATAATAGTCCGTTGACAACACAAAATCTGTTAGTAAAAAATGATTAAGCATAAACATATCAGGAATTTTAAAACCGCTTACATTCTTAAAAGCATTTTTATCTTGTTAATGGACTTTTAACATTAAGTTTATTTTTTGACAATGAATAACTTTTTCTGTCTGTTCCCATAGCCCTGCGGCGACAAATATTAATGACGGCGACTTACATTAAAAATGTAGACGGCGACTTAAAATTATTTTACATATCGAGGTACTATATTCAATAGTCTCTATCTGTCATTTTCATGAAAATAAGATTTTGATGGTAAAATATTCAGCAAACTATCCCGCATCAGTGACATAAATTTCAAAAGAAAAAAATAATTTTTGGCAATTTTATAGCAATTTTTAAATTTCTATATATTAAAAAAAGAAAAATTCTGAATGCAAAACTCTCTATCTTATCCAAAAATTTCTTCAAACTCTATTATTTTGGATAATTTTTGTTGCAAAACTAGTTTGGACATGCTGAATACAAATCCGCAAAAATATTTGAAATCGGTTTAATAGTTTTCGAGATATTGCCGTGTTTAACCATATAACATTGATTTTGGACCAAAACCTTATAATCTGTTGCTTTTTCAACAATTTGGTTTATATTACTTCATTAAATAGCATAAAATATAATATTTATTGATATTAAATCAAATAAAAAATTTATATTTCTATAAAAAAAACTCTCTATCTGAAGGTTGTAAAAAAAAATCGTAGAAAAAAGCTCTATCTGATATAAATTTGTGAATAATTTTGAAAATAATGCCAAATTTTAAATTCTTTTTATATAACAATTTAGAATATGGTCGTAAAATTTTTTTTTTGCATATAAAAAACTCAAGTTAATTGGTCACAACTACCATATAAGGATCATTTCCGAAAATTACTTAAACGCACATTGACAATCAAAGTCATCGGGATAAAATTCGACATAAATGTGTATTTTATATATATAAATCGTTATACGGAATTTTACTTCTGAAAATCACTTAATACCACATAATTCATTAATTAATTAGTAATATGAAAATTATTCAGCCAAGTATGTTTTCTAATTATGTAGTAGTAAATTATTATTATTTATTTTTTTTTTTTGTATTTTATTAGAAAAGTAATAATTAAGCCGGCTATAATATTCAATAAAACGACGTTTCAAAATTTTCAAATAAAATGAAAAATATTACAGTGTAGATACAAAATGTAATAAAACTTACTGAAAATACGGATGGAAAATTGAAAATCGTATGATTTTTTAAAATTTTTCGAAATATTTTAAAACGATTGGATTTTTTCATTTTATTTAAGTTTTATTTTTATTTAAACAAAGAAAAAATAAAAACAGAAACAAATTTCAAATAAAAACAGAAACAAAATGAAAATTTACGTTTTTTCTTTCAATTTTTTCAAATTGAAGTTTCATTTTATTTCAAATTTGATAGTGTAAAAACAAAATATATTTTCTATTTGATTTTTTTGATAATCATACCAATTTTCATTTTATTTTGTTTTGGCCAAAGTATAACAAGTAGTCCGACTCTCACATATAGGAAATTATCCAGTTATCCACAAAAAATTTGTAATTTTTTAAACTAGATTCATTGCACTTTTCACATAAAATATTGCTTAATTTTCTTAAACTGGAAAAAATAATTTTTTCTATTTATTGACATTTCATTTTTGTTGTTGTTGTTGAATTTTAATTTACAAACAGAGTTTCAATTTTTGGTATTGAAAAATCAAACAAATTTAAAATTGTAAATTTTTATAAAACTCTGTGTGTTCAGAACGCACCAACCCATATACATTTTTGTTGCCAACACATATTTAGAGTTAGGTACTTTTTCACTAACACATGCTTAGAGTTAGGTACTGCTGTCAAAGAGTCGGACTACTTGTTATTATTTGGTTTTGGCAGTATGAAATAAAAATCTAACGACTTCTCTCATAGTGTGTAGGCAGCTTTAATAATATTATAAAGTAATATACATATAGTAAAGCTTGGTACTCTGTTCAAATTTTACGTAAAATTTTTTTAAAACTTCATATAAAAAAATATTTATGAAATATAAATGGAATTATGTTGAAAAAGTAGTATTCTGTTTTTATAGTTAAAAACATATGAAATGTATCTAAAAACTAATAAAAATTAATAAAATAAATTAATTTAATGATACGCAAAAGAGACTGTTGATATCAGCAATAAAAAAACACAAACATATATGGGATAAGTCTCAAAAGCTGCATTCTAACAGGAACGCTATAAAAGGAGAAGAGACTGTTGATATCAGCAATAAAAAAACAAAAACATATATGGGATAAGTCTCAAAAGTTGCATTCCAACAGGAACGCTATAAAAGCGTCCTGGAAAGAAATCGCCTTGGAAATTGGTAAATCAGGTAAGTTAAAAGTACATACATTTATGTGTTATCTTTTTCTAAATATTGTATAAGTTTCATTCAGATGAAGCCTGTCGACAAAACTGGAAAAAATATTGGACAGCAAGCGCTATTACACTCAGAAAAAAAAACAAAATTACAAAAAGAATCTGCTGGCAAGTTGTCCCGAAATTCTCCAGCAATAAGTTCTCCAGATTCGTTTACATAATCTGTATACCCTGTGGAATTCAGTGGGATAATTTTTTAAATATTTTTAATTTAATTTAAATATTTTTGTTTATAAATTTGTTTGGCAATTTTTGCTTTTATCTTTTTATTTTTATGTTTTTGATAGGTATTTTATTGGAAATTTCCAATAAAAACCTCTTTTCACTTTAAGTTACAGAAACACTTTTTACTCACAAATCGAGAAACGATGGAATTTTTTGTTTTATGCCTACTCGATGCGAAAGCTTTTCTGGATGCGAATATTGATCTTTTCTTGTCTTTATAAGATAATTGTGCAAGTGCCACAAGGACCACAGAACATTTTTCGCGACAGACAGTAGAATTTTGAACATATTAATCCAAATGCATTCTCTACACATCGCCTAGCCCTGCTGAGTCTGTAATTAAATATATTTTCAATGTCCTCAAGGGGTTTACCTGACTTCGGTTTAAATGGTTTCATTATGCGGCAATGTAAAGGAAATGCGTCATCTGCAACGAACACGTAGGGCGTTTCGTCATTTGCATTTCTAGGAAATTTTAATTGATTGTGTCGAATTGCAGTACCAAGTGAGCATTTGTCAAATATATTTGCATCGCCCAATACCGTAGGCACCAATATCTACATAAGTGAAGCGGTAATCTCCATCGACCACTGCCATAAGAACCGTGCTAAAAAATCCCTAAAAGTGTATATTAACTTATTATTGACTAGCAATTAATATCATTGTGGAATTGTTTACTTACCTTGTAGTTATAAAATAAGCTCCCTGAGTTTGGGGGGCATTTCCTGTGACGTGTTTTCCGTCGATTAATCCCATGCAGTTAGGAAAATCCCACTTTTTATATGTCTCTGATATACGGATTATTTCTTAAGACGTCATTGGTGGAATTTGGTCTTTTAATGCTATACATATGGCATTGCACACTTCATCTATTATAACACCAAATTTCTGTTTACTTACTCTTTAGCAACTTGCTACATATATGGCGTTCTAACGTTCCGCATGCTAAATATCTAAAAATAAAAATTCGTTTTACATACTTAACTTTAATTCTTGCCATTATACTTACTCCAACACTATTTATGCTTTCGGAACAAGTTATGCTTTCGGAACAAGTTATGCTTTCGGAACAAGTAATGGCTCCACTTTACTTAATATATCCATAAATAATAATTTGTCCATGTGAAAATTCTCATTGAACGCTTTTGGATTGTTAATCAGATCTTCAAACTAAAATATAAACGTTATTTTAAATATATATTTGGTCGAGCATTGTACTTACGTCCGAAGCAAATCTTTCCTTCTTATTTCTTTTCTGGAGATAGGGACTTGTGGGAGATCGCCTGTCTTCCAGAAGCTCTTCTACGGACACTGCAATATTAATTATTTCTTGGGCTGCAGCACAAGCAGTCAGAATTATTTTTTTATCCATTTTAATGAAAAAATCACAGAAATAAAACTTTGTTTTTATACCCTTCACCTTCGTGAGAAGGGTATATATAAGTTTGTCATTCCGTTTGTAATTTCTATAATATAATTTTCCGACCCCATAAAGTATATATATTCTGGATCCTTTTAGGCGGTTGATTAAGCTATGTCCGTCTGTATGTCTGTCCGTCTGTGTGTTTGTTGAAATCAGTTTTTAGAGGACCCCAGATATCGGCGAGATCCGATTCTTCTATAATTCTGTTAAACATGCTTTCGAGAATATCGCTATTTAAAATCAGCAAAATCGGTCCATAAATACCGGAGATATGACAATCCGAGACAACCTCTGAAAATTTCATAAAAAAACAACTTTTTCCATGCTTTGATATACATACGTAAAGCAACAACAACACTGCTTATTCATTGAGTATTTCGTTTCATATGTTTGGATGGCTCTGTGTTTCATTGCCTTGTGTATATTGTTTTTGTTTCTTGGTGTATTCAGTTTCGAATATTTGGATGTTTGTTGGTTTCGTTGCGTATTTTGTATTTTTTTTTTGAGTATTTCGTTTTGTATGTTTGGATGGCTGTGTGTATCATTGGCTTCTGTATATTGGTTTTGTTTCTTGGTGCATTCCGTTTCGTATGTTTGGATGTCTGTTGGTTTCATTGCATTGTATATTTTGTTTTTTTATGTACTTAGTTTCGTATGTTTGGATGCTGTTGGTTTTACTGCCTTGTGTATTTTGTTTTTTGTGTGGTTATTTCGTTTAGCGTTGTTGTTGTTCATTTTGTTTTGCTATTGCTATAATAATGATATAGTCGGGAAAATGAAATACGTTTAAATTTTATGAAATTTATATTTATTAAATACACTATGGTGAAGGGTATATAAGATTCGTATATAGCACTCTTAGTTTAGTTTAGTTTAAAAGGGTTGTATACCAAAAATGGTATACATCCACTCGGAGACCCAGGAGGGTCCATTGTGATTCCCTTTAAGAAGAAACAAGAAAAATAAATAGAAAGAAGATAGAAAAGCCGGAGAGATAAGTTTGAAGTTACTGAATTCCTATCCTAATAGAGAAAGAATGTTGATAGTATTGGAAGGGAATTCTACGAGGTCCGGCGCCTAAATAGCCAATCCACTCCCCTGACAAAACCTAGAATGTCGCCTATACTACACCTAGATACATCTCCCAGATCATCATGGAAGGTTTTTCCTAGCCATTTCCGCCTCAGACTCTGTACACCAGGACAGTCACACAAAATATGTTCTACTGTCTCTAGCTCCTCTTCGTCCTCACACAACCTACAAAACTCCTGTGTGTTAAAGACCCAATTACCCAAAAAGGCTCCTATTGCGCAGTGACCGGTTATCACCCCTACTAGAATTCTAATACTCCTCCTGTCCAATCCTAATAGTGTTCTGGTTGCCTTGGCATTCAACCTCGGCCATAAGGCTTTGGATACCCTGCAATCCATCCTACTATGCCAGGATTGGTTGGAGGAGTTCCTGACCGTTGTCTGGCCAGTTCGTCTGCGATCTCATTACCCTGTATATTACTGTGTCCTGGAACCCAACACAACCTGATTGTATACAACTCAGATAGCTCGCGGATAGCATCCCTGCAGCTGCTTACTAATCTGGAATGAACTACATGACATTTCAGGGCCTTAAGTGCTGCCTGACTATCAACATAAACTGTCACCTCCGACCCCCTTCTAATGTGTGTTGTAGTCTCCTACATAAACTCCTGCACCTGTGCCGGATTCCATTTTGGAACCATCAGTGAAGATTGCACACCCTTCAAACAAAACTTCAGATCCCATCCATGTGTCCCTACTTGGAAACTCTATTTGGGGTGTTACACCGAAGTCTAGTGTCGTAACTAAATGATCAGAGATACAATCCGTAGTCCTTTCATTACCTGTTAGACAAACCTCGTACAAGATCTTAGGTACCCACCCTCTGAGGTATTACTAATGATGACTCATAGAGTCTCAGTAAGTTTCTAGCCGCCACACTCTCAACATATTTGTCAATGGGAAGTAGGTTCAGAATCATGTCCAATGCTGCTTGTGGCATGCTTCCCATGGCGCCTGTGATGCCTAATGAAGCACACCTTTGAGCTTTATTGAGTATCATTCTGTAGCTACTCTTCCTCATGGCTACCCACCACACCGTGCATCCATAGGTAATGATAGGCCTTACTACCGACGTGTAAATCCAGTTTACCATGTTCGGTCTTAAGCCCCAGTTCTTGCCGATGGAGTTTCTACATGTGTAATAGGCATTGAGCCCCTTTTTCAGCCTTTCCTGTAAATTTTTCTTCCATCACAGTTTGCTGTCAAGGAAGGTACCTAGATACTTGGCTCCGTCTGACAAATTCAACTCGACGCCGTTCAATTTCGGCAAATTGAAACTCTCTATCCTATATCTCCTGGTAAAGAGTACCAATTGACACCCAACCCATTTGTACCGGCCCAGTTCGATAAGTCGCTAAGCGCCGATTCCATGACCTCACTGATCGTAGGGAGAAATTTTCCCTTAATCAGAATCACGACGTCATCTGCGTACGCAACTATTTTCCTACTTTTGGATTCGAAGATTTTGAGAATAGAGTTAACCGCTAGTAACCAAAGCAGAGGTGAAAGCAATCCTCCTTGTGGTGTACCCCTGTTAACTCTTTTCCTAATCCTGTCCTCCCCTAAGGTTGAGTTGATAACTCTGCTACCCAGCATAGAAACTATCCAACTCACCAGGAAATCCTGAACACCTAGTGTAACTAACGACTCCTTGATGGCCTCTATTTTAATATTATTAAAGGCTCCTTCTATATCCAAAAACGCGGCCAAGGTATACTCTTTGTGATCTAGACCGTGCTCAATACAACCCACCACCTCATGAAGCGCACTCTCAACCGACTTACCCTTAAGATAAGCATGTTGAGCATTGCTAATGAGATGGGTATCAATATTGCTCCTAAGATGAAGATCTATCAGTCGCTCAAGAGTCTTCAATAGAAAAGACGATAGGCTGATAGGTCTAAAATCCTTCGGTTTAGAGTGGCATGCTTTGCCAGCCTTGGGAATAAAAATTACCCTAACCTCTCTCCACCTTCTAGGTAGATATCCCATTATAAGACATCTCTTGAAAATATCGGCTAAAAGCACCAATGCGTCATCAGGGATATTACAGAGCATGGCTGGAAAAACACTATCCGGACCCGGCGATTTGTAAGGGTCAAAAGTGTTTACCGCCCAGCTAAGTTTATCCATGGTGACTATTTCCTCAATGTGACCAGATGCATGACTAGAGTCTATAGGTCTAAAAACCCCCTGCTCTACGTCCCTAGCATCAATGTTCTCACAACCAGGGAAGTGTGTTTCCATAAGCAGAGAGAGTGTCTCAGAGCTAGACTCCGTCCATGAGTTGTCTTCCCGTTGAATATAACATAAGACCTTTGGATCTTTGGATAATATTCGCCTAAACCTAGACATCTCATTGACGTTTTCAACAGATTCACAGTATGTCACCAACGAATTCCGTTTTGCTCTCTTGAGATCTCCCTTGTACTTATTAAAGC